CCCCAAAACCCCAAAACCCCAAAACCCCAAAACCCCAAAACCCCAAGTTACCCTAGAAAATTGAAATAATCGAGAAAAATTACTATAGAATAAAATAAAAATTATGGCGACTATTAACAATTCCCCTTCAAAGGCGAAGTTTTCCTTTGGGACCTCAAGTAGGTTCCCAAAGGTAAGGAAAAGTTATTGAGAGAATGTAAGTAACTTCTTTTCAAACTCCCTTACATACTACATGCAGGGGCTTCTTCTTCACAATCTTAAGTGTCTCAATACGATATACTTTAAGATATTTATGCACAAAATTGTATAGGCTTCATATAATCATCAGCCAGCTTTTAACAAAAGATCTCCCTCTTTTGGAGTGGGAGACAGATTTAAAGGCCCTACTCCAGGTAAGTCTATGAGCTTATACTTTAGAAAAGAAACCTGCTCCAGGGAGTTACAAGCCTCAACTTTCCGATTTCGAGGCAAAAAAGGGATCTTCATTTGGCATTTCTTACGCTAGCTATGAGAAAGTTTACAATAAGGATAATAAAATTCCTACTGATAGATCTCTCCCTGGACCTGGTGCTTACCAAATAGAGAAAGATAAGAAGGGAGGGTACTCAATGGGCTCAAGATTCAAGTCTAATCATGATATGATCGCTACCAGCACATATCGTAACCCAGGTCCTGGGTCCTACTCTTCACTTAACACTCTTTCCAAGAATGGCTCTGTGGTGGTTTCTACAATAAAGTACATCGATGCCTAATGCTTTAGGAGTCCTTGTAAAACCAATATTGGAGGAAAGAGTGACAGATTTCATGCGATTAACAAGCTAAAGCAAACTCCTGGCCCAGGAGAATATATCAGCTCAGCTACTTTAGCTACTGAGAACAAGCGTTCTCTGTCTAAATATCCGAATCCTAAGCTAGCCACCTTTGGATCATCCTCAAGAGACTTCAACTCTGGATCGAATAAGGCTAGTATTGTTAGTTGTGTAATCCAATCTAGTGCTAGGACCAGGGCCCGGAGCTTATGAATTTGGCTCAGACTTTAGCGATACACTCTCATCATCCTTCAGAGGATCTCTGAAGAAGACAAAGAATCGTCGTTACTCAAGGAGTGAGCATTTTCACTAATTTTCATAGGTGTCGAGAAGCTTTAAGCAATTCCAGAGAGTAGTTGAATCCTAGAAATATTAGCATTTCAACAGATTGCTTCATTACTGGGGTTTTGGGGTTTTGGGGTTTTGGGGTTTTGGGG